TAGAAAATACTTAGATTGTAGAAAACATTCAGCATCTAAATATACTTAAAGCACCAAAAGTAAATCTACAGACTATGCAGGATAATTTATATTATTGTATTATAAATGTTGATGTGTGCAATACTCCAATGTTGCAGCTGGTAAATGATTAACACTTAAATCAGACTTTAGTTCCACCTGGAGTAAATTCACAAGCTGCCCTGCATTATACAAAGTCATTACAACTAGCTGCACCTTTACCAGCTTTGAGAACACTTTCATGATCAATCATTATAAAACATATCATATATTATTCTGAAATGGACCAATGTGCACAATGACTACTTTTACTAATTTTTAAGTATTGTGTTATGCTAATACTTATGTACTTTTACTTGAGTCACCTTTTGAATGCAGGACTTATACTTGTAACACAGTACACTCTGGTAGTTTTACCCAAGTACAAGATCTGAGTACTTCGCTCTGCCATTACCTTATTAAACACATGGCGGTAGACGATGTACCGCAGTTCATCAGGTCCCTGTTGTTGGCACTGTAGATACAGTTTCTCCCGCTCTATAAACTCCTCCAGAGACCTAAAAAACCGTTCATCACTCTCAGAAATCAATATGTCCGGAGTTGAACTTCTTTCGTCTGTTCTTGAAGAAGACCTGCTGTAGCTTTGAGTCTCAGACATTGTTAGTTAAACTTTCTGTTTACAACTCCCTTTGTAGCTATGGTTACCGCGAAAGTGTACCTGGGAAAGTGTGTTTTCAGAGAGATTTCATCGCTCTCTTTCAAGACGAATAACTATTTAATATGGAGAATGAAGTGTGACGGAAATAAAACGTTAAACGACCTTAAAAATTACATGTTTTAATGTATATTTGCTTTCGCTAACTTCCCATCTCCAAATTCCACCTTGCTGCTTTGAGGCATTGCTATGGATAACGCGAAAGTTTACCTGGGAAATTGTGTTTATGTGAAAAATAAAAATATTTAGTCGTTTTATTATTTAAATATATGCCGAAATAGACATAAAAGGGACAATAAACGAATCACAACAAAACAAAAAAGACTCTTTTGTGATAGTAAATTGGTAAACGGACGAATCTTATATTATATCTAATAATGTTAGATATTTGTGGGCAAGAATGTGGTGGCTAACTTTCTGTCTGCCATCTTACTTTTCGACCACGTTGCCATGGTTATCGCGAAAGTTCACATGGGAAATGAAGTTTTAATTTTTTTATTTCAATTTTTGCTTTCAGATTGTATTAATTTTTACATATGAATACAGATACATACGTGTTGTGATAGAGCAATTATCTCAATGTTATCACTGATTAATCTGACTAAAAATACGAACACATTTGAACACGTATCGATATTTTTTATCAGGCACTGTCAACGGGTGTTCCCAACCCGTGGAAATGCGGGCTGAAAACCCCGTCGCATGCTCTGAAAGACCTCTTCTCATGATCCGCCATTAGGAGTGAGCCTCTGGTAAGATCAGCTCTCAGTCAAAAACTAATTATTATCACAAAATAACACTTTTAAGAAGCACATTTCAGCATTTACGAAATATTTAAAGTCTTGTGTGTTTTCCCGTACAGCTGGGTATAAAGCCAGGATGCAGATTTTCGTCAAAACCCTCACGGGTAAGACCATAACCCTCGAGGTGAGTGCACGGAGAAAATGCGGCGTTTTCTGTCTCCCAAGTTTTACCATGTTTAAGTCAAATTAGGCGGATAATTCAACATGTAATTGAACCTTTAAGTACTCAGGTTGGCTACTAAGTTCATTGGGTGTGTTCTTAAACCCAATAACAGTCGATACTGTCGTAGCTCACAATTGAAGCTAAGTGGCTAAGCTAACGGTTACACCGTAAACACGTGTGAGTGAAGCAGACTGGAACTGCCCTTTCAAAATAAAGTGACATTTCTTTCAAAATAAACTACATTATTAATGCCTACTGATACATTTAGAGTGTTTTAACCCAATATGTGATGTTCTCGTTGACCGGAAGAAGGTGTCATCATGGCTGACCGGTGTTCTCTGTACTTTTTCACAGGTTGAACCTTCAGATACTATCGAAAATGTCAAGGCCAAAATCCAAGACAAAGAGGGTGAGTAGCTTTAGACTGGTTTGTTGTATATAGTTCAGGTTTAATTGTCTCACAAGGTTTGCACATGGAAGGAATGCATTTTGGTGCTTAACAATAAACAGTAGGAGGTTAATATATATAAGGTTTTTTATCCAGGAACTAGCAAAAGCTCAATGCACATTAAATAAGTTAAATGATAAAGTGTTATGCAGGAACTAGCAAAAGTGCAATGCACAATCGTGAGCTCACTATCTCTGTATTGGTAGTATCAAAATAAACTTGACTTGCGATTTGAAAAAATGAGAATATCTTGGTTAGATTTCATAAAGCCTCACCTATCTATATTTTACAAGTGAAATTGTAAAACCGTAAGATGGTTGAGGCTAACATTCACTGCCATAACTAACAGAGGAACATGTAGTACGATGTTGAAGATCAGCTCAACTCTTAAAAACCAATATGTGTATTACCCGATTATCCTGTGGCTTTAGTGTTTTTAAAGTTATTATAAGGAGGCGTGTGGCGCAGTGGGTTAGTGCAGGTTCAAACCCCACTGCAGTCAGCATGTCGTTGTGGGCCCGAGACACTTCACCCCAAATTGCTCCTGTGGGGATTGTCCACAGTATTGAGTATGTAAGTCATGTTGGATAAAAGCGTCTAACATGTAATGTACCAGTGTTGGTGTTGATACCGTCTCCTTTTATTCTTCAGGGATCCCCCCAGACCAGCAGAGATTGATCTTCGCCGGTAAGCAGCTGGAGGATGGACGTACCTTGTCGGATTACAACATCCAGAAGGTGAGCTGAGGAAGAAAAATATATTTTTTTATTACAATAAACCCCTCAAAACACAGCTTTAACACACTCCCACCGTCAGGAGGGGGTACACATAAAAAGTCCCTATTAACTGAATCTGTAATTGATGAGTCTCATCCACACGTGATTATTAAAAGCAACCCAACAATAAGAAGACCTACTTTAACAAAATGGAGAGGAAAGACCTGATCGGTACATAAATACAAGATCAGTCAAGTGGGGTTAAGATGATGCCAAATGGACCCAACATCTGTTTCATTGATCCTTTTTTTTTTACTCCCAGAAAGTCTGATTTCCAGTCTTTTTTATACACTAACATGAATACAGTTGTTTGAATGTTCTTGATCATAGATGGTTATGTTACCAAGATGAGGACCAACATCTGATTTTGTTCCTTGTCTTCAGGAGTCCACCCTTCACTTGGTGCTGAGGCTGCGTGGAGGTGCTAAGAAAAGGAAGAAGAAGTCTTACACCACCCCCAAGAAGAACAAGCACAAGAGGAAGAAGGTCAAGCTCGCTGTGCTCAAGTACTACAAGGTAAGAACTCTAACATCCAGGAGCCTCGTCTGCTCACAGTACAATAGGTGGTCACTTTGAACGCCTTTCTAAGGGACGGTTAAAGCAGGAGTGTCAAACTCAAATACACAGTGGGCCAAAATAAAAAAAATGGGTACTAGTGGAGGGCCCGACTGGTTCAATGTTTATTGCCAAACTTATTGAAATGAACTTATTGCACATATTAAACTTGGAACTAACAAAGCTTAAATGATTGCCTATAAAAACAACATTAAATAATCAGGTGCATTCATTTTCTTCTGGCTCTATCTGCAGCTTTTACAGAGTCATTTCTTATGATTACATTTTTCCACAGGCCAACAACAGCTTCAACAAAACTATTTCCCTCAAAGAACAAACCAAACCAAACATGCCCTGTTGTCGTGAGAGAGAAAGTGCAGAATGGAACATCCATTAAACTCAGTGTGCTGCTCTGTGATGCTAGTTCAGATACTTGGCATCTCATCTTGGGTGCAAGGTCATCAATGTTTGGGCTCAGGCTCTGAGCTGAGGAGACCCTCAGGATTGAGATCTAATAGAAATGTAACATTATCCTGCGGGCCGAAATTAAATCCACCACGGGCCTGATTTGGCCCCCGGGCCTTGAGTTTGACAAATGTGGGTTACATGAAGGCACATTTAAAGTCCTAGGTACTGAACTTTTGTTGTTTTTTATTCGACAAGGTGCCTCAGTTCTGTGTCTAACGCAGCTGGGGATATTTTTTTATTTTTGCAGGGTTTAACAAGAACATTTGAATCTCTAAGATAATATTAGGAGGACCTTAATTGTTTCAATTGTTTCAAAGTTCTTCAGCAGAGCTAAATAATTTCAGACGGCCTTTCTGATTATTTACAATTAATTAAACATCAAGGCATACATGTTAAGGTTATATTACAGACAGTTCAAAAATGTTAACTGCAGACAACCTGTTTATAATAAAATGTTAGAATTTGACCAAACTATTTCAGCACAAAATAAATCTACTTCAACAAGATTTTAAGAGTTGAATGGAAACAAAACAAAAGCAAAGGGTTGGGATTTTTGACATTTGATCTAGTGAAGTATTATTTAAGATTTTAAATTACTGACAAATAAGCATTTCAAGTTACTGCGGAAACCCTGCTATGGTAACATTTCAAAGCTCATGCCGTTATCCTAGCTGGATGCGAACTTCCACAATTTGACAAGAATTTGCTTCAACAAGATTTATAGATATGTCAAAAAGCAAATGTTGATTTATTTCTCAGAGGAATTGTTACGTTTTGATCGAGTGAAGAAGCAGTGATAAATTACTGAAGTTTTAAATCCTCTTCCTCTCTCTTCTTCCAGGTGGACGAGAACGGTAAGATCCACCGTCTGAGGCGCGAGTGTCCCGCAGACGAGTGCGGTGCCGGCGTCTTCATGGCCAGCCACTTCGACCGCCACTACTGCGGAAAGTGCTGCCTGACCTACTGCTTCAACAAGCCCGAGGACAAGTAGATTAACAAAATAAAGACCGAAATGTTTTGACAAAACTCCCAAGTCTCTCTGTGGTGATTTCTTCAATTCAAGATTCAAAGGTTTTATCGTCATATGCACAAAAAGCTAGTGTAGAAACGGCAATGAAATTCTTCTGACCTGAGCTCCAACAATGCAATATATATATCAAAATAAAAAGACTATAGAATATGGGATATGTACAACAACTTAATTACATTTAAGAACTGTTTATTTATATAAATTAGTATATTGCAAGATGACCACAGGATTGTTTATCGGAGCACTCAACAGAGTTCAGGTGTTTAGCAGACTTAAAGTGCGCCCATCATGCTATTTTTAGGCAATAGCATGGGTCTCGGATATATATATACAAAGCATGTCTATGAAGTGTTTTGCTCAAAATACCAAACTGATCACCCACTCATATCCCTCTTTCACTTCCTTTTTCAAAAGAGCCGATTTGGGGTATAAAGTTTATTTAAAAAAAAAAAAAAAGTCTGAGCTCATGCGGGACCGGCAGCTACTGTCTAAACGCCATATCATGGATTCTTTCTGAAACAGTATGGAGCTCCAAGGCTTTCTCTCTTGCCGGTTATACCACAAGATGAGTTCCTTTTTTATTTCCTGCTTCATCACACACATGCTCTCCAGTACAGGTTAGCTCTGAGTGTTAGCGATGCTAATGTAAACACCAACCATATTATGTCCAAAACAGTTGGGCATTGTTTCTGACAGGGCCGTGGGTCCACAGTTCAGATATTACGTCATATCGGATCAGCTCCGTTGTAGCCCCGTTTTTAGAGATTTGGGTACGGAGGAAAAGAGGGTTTTATTTTCTGACGCTGCGTGAGTTCTGACACATTTATAGACAAAAAAATGCATTTTGCAGGATAGGTCCCCTTTAAAACTATTGGTCGGGGTTGCTGTGGGTCTTTAAACACTTCAGAAACTTTACAATGCTGTTTAAATGGCTTTAATTTTTGTATTTCTTTCAACATTTTAAACATGGATTTCATTAATATATTGGGATCTTATACCTTAATATTACCTCCGTTTCTCACTATTAAACATTTGGTTATTGGTAGTCCTCTAAAGGGAATTTAAGTACCAAACATTTTTCTACTGGCTGTCATCCTTTTTTGTTTCTCTGACCAGTTGTCAGTTAAACAGGATGATACTGTCTTTCATGGGGACGTTCTCTATTGTAGGTTCCTGCGGGATTAGTTTTTATTGGAATTTCATGGGTAAATGATTACCTGATATATTTGTTTGTGCTGGAAAGTGGAACATTTTGTCCCTTAGGGAGAGGTACGGTTTCCATGTTCTTGTTGGATATTTAAATGTGTAAAAATACTATCAGTTTTAAACATTACAGTAAGGGAATTAAATAAATCAGCAGGTTACTTTATAATATGTTCCATGTTTAAAAGTTAATTTCCCATGCAGTTTCAGCGGCTGTCCAGCAGGGGGCGCGTTCAATGAGTGTAGAAAAACCTGCAGAGCAAGAGTTTAACTCGGCACTACCCAAGAGATGCGAAATATAGTATAAAGGTGGATACAATTGAACAATAGGCTTAATTGTCTTCTGAATTCTTTCATACAATTCACCTAAAGTTTTTTTTTTTAATGTTTAAGACTATTTGGTTCAATGTTTGTAGTCAGTGACACATAGCCTAACTCTAAGAGGTGAGGAATTAAAATGATACATAAAGTGTAGATAAATTTAATATTTCCATTCACAGTATTGACTCTTTTTTTAAAGGTATCAAAACCAAGCTTGTTTGGTCTTTTGAGCAAAATTATATATTGTTTTGACCAACATCCAATCAAATAATTTTGTTTACATTTATCACAAAATGGCTTCTGGAAAGTGTTGTTATCTCCTTTCCCAGCAGAAATGAGCTTCCATGATTAAAAAAACACAGGTTTAATCTATAAAACCAAAAAAAAGTGAAGAATACTTTTGATTATATAAAATGTCTTGATATCATGATTTTAAGCTGCATTACAAGTACAAATATTGTATTTTTCTGTGTGAATTTCCTTTCAAGTTAGGTTTTTTTATTACCAAGAACACGTTTTGTTACGTTTCGCACTTCTTGAAATCCATTCTTGGCTCGACTGTTCCTCCTTGTTTGTCCTGGTAGAAAATGAGCCTCAAAGAGTAAAAACAACACAAAAACAGGAATAATGCTGTGTACTAAAATAAGGTTATTTACTTAAAAATCGTTACATTGGACAGACTGTATACAGAGTTTTCATTTCCTTGGTAAACTCATAAGGCACCGAACCAGATGCTGAACAAAACAACACCAAAACAACAACAAAAACATTACAGCTTTACATATTAGGGATTATTTCTATACGGGGAGTTTCCTTGCATATTTGTTACAGAGAAAACACTAAAGTTACTGCTCTTAAATATGAACTGTAAGCTTCATTCACACACTCTCTCTTACACACACACTCTCTCTTACACGTACACACACTCTCTCACACACACACACTCTCTTACACACATACACACGCTCTCACACACGTACCCACACACTCACACGTACACATACGTCGTTCTGCTGCTGAGGAGATTTCTGTGTCTACATCTCAATAAACCTATTTGCTTCCATGCTAGCAGTTTCCCCCTGTTTCCAGTCTTTGTGCTAAGCTAGGCTAAACACATTCCCAAATATTCTTAAAGGGGACGTTATTTCCCAAAAAGCAGCCCAATTGAATGACTCTTGATGTATTGTAGAACGATGGAACAAGGAATCTTATTTTTAAATCAGAGTGGGAGGAGCCAACATGAATCTATGCAAATCTGTTTCATTTGGTGGTTGGACAGCAGGATAACGGATAAACATCCAACCAGATTTTCATAAAACTTGCTGTAAAGGTGCAGCATCGTCCGAGGAAGAACCCATTCAATTTGGCTATATACGTTCACCTATGAAATGCACTATTATGTTGATAAAAATGACACATGTCGCCCTATTTGGCGAGGGGCAGCACTGAATGTAAGTACACAGCTCAACTGGATACATGTAATATAGGTCTAGCTGTTATTTAACTTGTCTAGTGTGGAACATATTTACATTATAACTTCAAATAGGCATTTAAACAAGTCTTGAATCTAACATAATCTCAATGAACCCTGGTACACGGGTCCTTTTGGCTCCACCCACTCAGGTTAAACTCAACCAATCAGGTATCTCGACAGACAGACCGACAGACGAACAGGAAGTGGACAGTTAGACAGGAAGTGGACAAACAGGACGGTAGACGTCTCCTGGAGTCGGCTGGACGTCAACACCACTGCAGCATAGTGTTCTGATATTTTAACTTTAAACCCTCTCACGAGTAGGCATGATAACACTTATTTACACATTTTAATTCACATATTATAATAGTACCTTTTTTTTCTTAATTATAATTAACTCTACTTTCTTAAGAGTGGAGATATATTTCAATATGGCAGGAGAACTCTGTCCTGAAGAGAAAATAATAACAAAAAAAATTGGCATTTCTGTTTAAACAGGCAGAGGAGGAGGAAGGCAACGCAGGTCCTTAAAAAAAAATCTGTTCATTTACGAGCATCGTTTCCCCCTCCGTCGAAATGATCTTTATCGTCTCGTTTTGCTTTCACGGAAAGCGTCAAACCGGCAGAAAGAGGAGGGACTCCATGTTTGTTTCTGAAGGAGGAGGAGGAAGGACTCCATGTTTGTTTCTGGAGGAGGAGGAGGAAGGACTCCATGTTTGTTTCTGGAGGAGGAGGAGGAAGGACTCCATGTTTGTTTTTGCGCTGTGTCTCTATTCTGATACCTTAGTTCAATGCCATGTCGTAAACTGTACACACTTTGTATTTTGTGAATTTCGACCCAGTAGCATCGTCTCAAATCCTGGAAGTCACAAAATTGCTGTTGGCTAGTGAAGCGAAAAGATCGAACAGATCTGAGAAGTGTGTTATAATGCATTTGGGAAAAACGCCCAGAAGATTCATAGTAAAAAAAATGTCCAATGTTTTGAAATGCTTTCTCACACTCATGTTATTTTTCACAAATGATTTCAGACATTGCTGTTCAGCGGAGACCGTCCTTTCCAATCAGTTCACAGCAGCCATGACATGACTCAACGCTTTCTGGTCAAAGTTCCCAAAAAATAAAGTGTTCAGTGGCCGTTTCTCAATGTCGGGTAAAGCTGCTCCAGAGCCACTATTTGAAGCATACTACGTCATTGAGTGTCATTGTTTAAATGCCCAGCATACATGTGCTACCAAGCAAGCCTCCTCGACATTGAGAAACGGCCACAGTGTACCACATGGCAGCAGATGGCGTGTACCACATGGCAGTGTACCACATGGCAGCAGGTACCACATGGCAGCAGGTACCACATGGCAGTGTACCACATGGCAGTGTACCACATGGCAGCAGGTACCACATGGCAGCAGGTACCACATGGCAGTGTACCACATGGCAGTGTGATAAGAAAAGTATCTGAAATGACACACGTTGCACATTTTAGTTTCCAGACACAGTGACGATGATGATGGAGGAGGAGGAGGAGGAGACACAGAGTTCAGCCCTGAAATGGGTCCATTATTATTATCTCTCTCCTCCTCCCGATGAAGAGGGAGGCGCTGATATTAAAGAGGACGAGGATGAGGGCGGTCAGATCTTGATGTCCTGCGACTCCACCATCTTGGAGAGCGTCTTCTTCACTCGGAGGATTGTGAGGCGGGAGGCCGGGTTCGGAGCCCAGCACTCGGACATCAGCTTCAGCATCGCCCGCAAACACTAAGGACACACACACAAATGTATTATTATCATTACTTCTTAGGTGTTCATTAATTAAATAAATTAGTCTTGGAAGAATATCTGATGTGTGTGAGAAAGTATACGGAAAATGTCTAAGAAGTGTATAAATTATGTAAAATAATCTGTAAAAAATATCCCCAAAAATTCACGAGAAATGTGTAATAAATAACTTATCCTTAAATATGTAAAAAAAATCTTTATGTGAAAATAAATAGTGAAAATATTATATCAAATATATCAAATTTACTGGGGAAAAAATAAGATGAATATCCAGAAGATGTTAAAAAAAAAATATGTGAAAACTATTCCAAAAAGTTTTTTGTAAAATGATTTCGAAAATATATTCATGATGTCCAAAAGCAAACTCTCACCTCGTCGCTGTTCCAGCGGTTGGACAGGGTCGGCCGGACTCCTTTCACACACACGACCTCCAGCATGTCTTCATACGACGGGTCGGAGGGAACCATCTCATAGTACGGGGGCTGGTAGTCCTCCACGATACCTGAGCGCACAGACAGACAGACAGACAGACAGACAGACAGACAGACAGACAGACAGACAGACAGACAGACAGACAGACAGACA